CCTCCACTTTACCAAACATGATATCCTTCTCCAGGGAATGGTCCCTTCTGACAACATGACCAAAGCAGGTGAGACAAAGTCCGGCCATTTTTGTTTCCAAGGAATATTCCAGCTGCACTTCCTCTGGGACAGATTTGTTCGTTCTTCTGGTAGTCCACGGTACTTTCTGTATTCTTCACCAACACCACAACTCAAACGCATCAACTCTTCTTCAGTCTTCCTTATTCACTGTCCAGCTTGTACATGCATATGACGTGACTGAAAATACCATGGCTTGGGTTCAGTGCACCTTAGTCTTCAAAGAGTCATCTTTGCTCCTCAACACTTTAAAGAGGTCTTTTGCAGATTTGCCCAATGCAATATGTCATCTGATTTCTTGACTGCTACTTCCATTGGTGTTGATTGTGGAACCAAGTAATATGAAATTAGTCATTAGGGAAATGTAAATCAATACTACTGTGAGATGGCACCCCACAGTCACTGGGATGACTATAATCAAAAAGGCAGACAATAATCAGTGTTGGTGGGGATGTGGAGAAATTGGAACACTCCTACATTATTGATGGAAATATAAAATGGTACCGTCACTAGGGAAAACAGTTTGGAAGTTCCTCAAAATGTTAAACATAGAGTTACCATGTTGTTGTTATGTGCCTTTTAGTCAAGAGTTACCATTAAAAAAAAAATCCCTCTTGCCTTTGAGTCTGACTCATACTGACCCTATGGGACAGAGTATAAATATCCCCATGGGGTGTCCAAGGCTGTCAGTGCAGTGCCTGAGGCATTTGACTACTAACCAGAAGGTTAGTGGTTCAAACCCACCAGCCTCTCCATGGAAGGAATATGGGGCAATCTACTTCTGTAAAGATATATTGCCTCAGAAACCCAGTGGGGGTCCCTATGAGTCAGAACTGAATTGATGGCACTGAGCTTGGTATTGTTTTAATCTTTACAGAAACAGATTGCTACATCTTTCTTCTGCTGAGTGGCTGGTGGATTCAAACTGCCAAGCTTTCAGTTAGAAGCTGTTTGGGTTCTCTAGTGCTGATCTAATAGAAAATACCACAAGTGGATGGCTTTTATTCTCTCACAGTTTAGGAGGCGCCTCAACCTTGGGCTTCAGCTCTGGCTCATGCTCCTGGCTCAGTTGAGCTGAAGGGGTCTCTTAACTCAGGCAGCTGCTGGCTGCTAAGGCTGACAAACTCAAGGCAGGCAAGTAAAGTGGCACAGTCCCAAGATATCAAGCATGCAGCAGGCCACTAGTTAAGTCCAGAAAAGGTCTCAAGACCTGCAGACAGCATGGCAGGCCACTAAGATGAAGACTTGGCCAAGTGTACAATCCAGATGTGCCAAAAGCTCAGAGACCTTTCTCTAAGTTTCTCCTTATATACAGAAGCAGACCACATCCCTAAGGCAGCTACTCAGCTGCTCACAGTAGTTCTACCATGGAGTTGATAATCAGTCTCATCATGGGGAGTTAACGACATCCAGCTGCCCAGCCACTCAAAAGCAGGCCCAGCCAAGTTGACACATTAACCTTAACCACCACAGAAGCCAAGCACTTAACTACTGTGCCACCAGGGCTTTTGTGAGAGTTGCCATATGACCCAGTAATTCTACTCCTAGGTATAACCAAGAGAACTGAAAATATATGCTCACGTGAAAACTTGTACATAAATGTTCATAGGAATATCACTCGTAATAGTCAAGAAGTAGAAAAAACCCAAATGTCTTTCAACTGATGAATGTATAAACCAAATGTACTATATCCATGCAATGGAATATTATTCGGCAATAGAAAGGAATTTAGTACTGACCCATGACACACTGATCCATATGATGAGCCTTAGAAACATTATGGTAAATGGAAGAAGCCAGTCACAAAAGAGCACATATTGTAAGACTTTTCTAAGAAACAGGCAAATCCATAGAGACAGAAAGTAGATGAAGGATTGTCTAGGGCCTGGTGAGGTAGTGGGAGGGGAGTGACACTTAACGGGTGTGTTGGATTGGGTTCTCTAGAGAAACACAAAAACCAGCAAAGTATATATATATATATATTTATAGAGAGAGAAAGAGAGAGAGAGAAATTTATCTTAGATAAATGGCTCACAAGCGTGTAGAAGCCGACAAGTTCAAGCTGAAAAGTTCGTCTCTGGAGGGGGATGGGGCCCAGGGCCGTCTGGCTTTCACACGCACGGCAGAGGAGTTCAAGTCACAAAGTTCGTCTCTGGAGAGAGATGGGGCCCGGAGTCGTCTGGTTCCCTTAAGCGCAGCAGAGCCGGGAGAATCAAACTGACACGCAGGATCGCCGTTCCCAACAAAGAATGAATCCGAAAGCCTCCGCGGCGAGCAGCGAGCTGCTTGCTCCAGGAAGTATATAGTCCGGAATGCCGTTCTTCCAGTTTGTCCCTGGGATAGTATTACAGGTAGGCCACACCCCTGGGGAAACTCCCCCTAGACTGACCGGCCGCTTAGGACGCAGTCATGTGATCCATCATGGGAACTACCACTCACAACTGGAGTCCAGCCAAGTTGACACATCTTCAACTATCACAATGGGTTTTTACCCAAAGGGATGAAAATGTTCTAAAACTGATCATGGTCATGGTTATAGAACTCTGTGACTATGCTCAAAACCATTGAATTGTATATTTTAAATAGGTAAATTAGGTGGTATGTGAATTATATCTCAATAAAGCTGCTATTTTCAAAAAGTAATCCATAAATCTAAGCTAATACTGATTCACATGCAACATTTTAAAAGTTTGAAAGTATTTCAGACAGAGAGAATTTACGTTTCCAAGTTGGGTTTGATCTCCTTTTTCAGTCTAAGAAATATGGCTTATTTGGAATAACTGCGGCTAAATCTATATACTACTGCCATGGAGTCTATGCAATTCTGACTCATAACAGCCCTATAAGATAGAGCAGAACTTCCCCATAGGGTTTCCAAGGCTGTAATCCTTATGGGAGCAGATTGCTACATCTCTCTCCCGTGCATGGGCTGGTGGGCTCAAACCACTGACCTTTAGGTTCACAGCAGAGCACTTACCCACTGCAACACCAGGGCTCCTTAAACCTAGATATAAACAGGTAAGTATTGCCCCACCTTCCCTCTGAGGAGAGGCTGGTGGGTTTGAACTGCCAGCCTTCTGGTTAGCAGTCACGTGCCTTAAGCACTACGTCCCCAGAGCTCCTTGCCCACAAATTAATACTATGTAATTAGTTCAGTTGGAGTTTGTGATAGTTGGAGCTGTGTGTCAACTTGGCTGGACCACAATTCTGTGTGGTTTAAGCAGTTTTGATGTGGTTATCCTATGATGGGATCAGATGAATATGTTTTGAGCAGCCAATCCATTGAAAGGGAGTTTCCCTAGGGGTGTGGCTTGCTTCCGGTATATTTACGGACATCCTGGGAAAAGAGACATTCTTCTGTGTATTGGGATTCTGTTGTGCTGCCTACGACTGTCCATGAGCGAACAATCCATCATTCGGCCTGGATATCTTAGATTCGTCATTCGTTGGAGTCAACAGCCACTATACTGCCTGCCAACCTTGAGATCCTCTGCCCCTGTAGCTGCAAGAGTTGGGAAAAGCCTAAAGCTTGACGTTTGATCCAAGAACTTTGGACTTGCCAGCTTCTGTAAGTGTGTGAGCCATTTTCCTAAGATAAATTTCTCTTCCTCTCTCTACATAAGCTTTACTGGTTTTGTTTCTCTAGAGAACCCAGTCTAACACAGAGTTTTTGAAAGATTTAATTCCTGGTGTGCTTAAAGACGTGAAAGAGTTGGTACTTCTCTGGGGTCCTTTGGTACTTTCAGAGAATAGCTTGCTAACTCACCAGCACAAGTCAGCTGGGAGGGAGAACGACATTTGATTCCCCAACGGAAACATCCCACATTAATTAGTGTAGAAGACTCTGCATCCTAAGCACTTCGCCTTAAGCCTGAGTAAACCTCCAAAAACAAACTGTGGAAAAGAAATTGGGAAAATCGTCGATAGCCTTGAATCCAAAGGAATAGGGTTTAAGGGTGAATTGTTCATATTATTATCCCAGCTTATTATTTGTATTTTTATTTGCTTGTGGAGATTAGGTCCCTTAAACACTCAGGTGAATTTCAACTAGATCCCAGTAGCTATGTGAAAGACCTCCAGTACAAAGTAATCAAAGGAAATATCTACTTCTGTAGTGATACCGCCTCGGAAACCCAAGGACAGGTCGCTATGAATCGGATCTGACTCCACGGCAATGGTTGTATTTAATTGGCGTAGTGCCTAAGGCATTTGACTGCTAACCAGAAGGGTGGTGGTTGAAATCCACCAGCCACTCCTTGGAAGGAAGACTGGGCAATCTACTTCTGTAGTGATACCGCCTCGGAAACCCAAGGAGGGGTCACTATGAGTCGGATTCAACTTGATGGCAGTGAGTTTGGTTTTGGCTTAATTATATGGGGAGGAGCAGCCCAAGGCATGTCATCGATATAGAAATAATACACATTTTGGGGAACAAATTCCATCTAGAATAATTTTTAAATATTAGGCAAATCTCATGAAGTTCTGTGTTTAATAGGTATAAAAAATAATTTGATCATTGAGTTATAAAAGCTAATAAAAGCTCAACGATGCTACTCAACGTCACATAGGCAGAGATACAGGTATTTATAAGAGAATTGAATAAACGGCTATAAATTTACACAGTCTTTCCTGTTCTTTGCCACTGAATTTGAAATGGAGGCTTTAGATCGGTACACTTTCAACTGAAATTAAATCAAACAAAATATCTCTTAGGTAATACTTACCAGTGCTTCATAAATTCAAAGCTACACATTCCAAAGGTCACTTTCTATGTTACCCCACTATTTGACCTTCAATTCCAGTGACGATGCATGGTACAAAATCACACAGGGCCACTCAAGAACAGTGAGAATAAATGAAAAAGGCAGAGGGGATACATCTGGCTTTTCATTCGTGGAAACAGGCACATTCCCAGCACTCACCTTTCCGAGTATTCCTATATTCGCGTAAAGCAGAAATGTTACAGCCCATGTCTTCTAAATTGTGTGTGTTCGTGAATTCAACTTCAGATTCCAGACTTTACGCTGCAAGGAGCCACTCCTAGCTGATCCACTTCAGTCATGGACAGTAATGAGGAAGACACATGAGGGAGGAAAGGAAACCAGCAGTTAACAACAAGGTATCTAAGGGGCTGCACAGCAGGACTCATTTTATGCTTCTTCTGAATTGCTATGCGTCATGTGATGTGGAAAATGATCGTACATCATCTAATCCTGGTTTATTTTCCAACACAACACCAGCAGCAGCAGCAACAAGGCAGCTACAGATTGCTTTCTGGTACACATAAATTACAATACCCACATCTAGGTCAGATCCAGCTCTCTATAACATAAAGTATTAAAAAGGAAAATGGAACTGGAAGATCATGCAATTTTCTAACTGAAATAAAGGGAATTGGGATCGAGAAAAGCTGACAAAGCAACTGGGTTTGAAACTTAAGGTAGTTAAATCTATCTGGACTTTTAAAATAAGGAGCTCTGGTGGCACAGTGCCTAAGGCATTTGACTGCTAACCAGAAGGTTGGAAGTTCTAAACCCATCAGCCACTCCCTGGAAAGAAGACCCGGCAATCTACTTCCATAAAGACTTACCGCCTTGGAAACCCAATGGGGATGGCTCTGAGTTGGAATAGACTCAATGGTAGTGGGTTTGGGACTTAAAATTCAAATTGTAGGCTGATTTTGGAACAAAAACAATACTATGACAAAATTCAACAGTTATTTCCCAGAATTAGTCGGGGCGCTTGTTAAAAATAATGGAGTATCAAGATCTCACCCCAAATTAGGAATCATGAGCTGTGTGTGAGCCCTTGTAAACAAGCTCTCCCAGCATTTCTTTGATGTGGTGAAAGACATGTGAAACTGTTCCCTACAGGTTAGTAAATGAGCACAAGTAAGCCCTGCTTATGTGGTAATCTGCCCATGCCAGTGATCGCACATTCTCCTCTACATGCTGTGACCCCTGTTAGGCTTGTAAGTCTGTAGCTTCTGGTGTCTACTCCTCCCCCCGCCACTGTCTCTCTTAAGGAAAATAGTTTTATTATTGAATAAGCATTAATCCAGGATGCGACGATTCATAGGCAATCCATTAAAAACTGGAGCATGACTTGCCCATCTCCTGCCTTTGCTCCATACTCAGAAATTTCTTAAGGTTTACCTGCATTGCCTATGAGGACACAGCCGCTGGGTTTCAAAGTGCCTAGATCAGTGCTCTCAGACCTAAGGACTCCCAAGACTTAACAGGGGAGTTTGCTTCAAAAAATACGGACTCCCAGGCTTCACGTCCAATAACTTGGACTCAAAAGGCCTGTGGCCTGGGAGCCTGCGTTTGAAGTGCACCCTTCAGGGGACTTTGACACAGCAGTCCCCTGTATCTCAGTTTCAGAAGCACTTCTCTCCAACAAGGGCCCTGGTAGTGCAGTGCTTAAACACTCGGCTGCTAACCAAAAGGTGAGTGCTTCCAACTCACCAGCTGCTCCGTGGTAGAAAGAAATGGCAATCTGTTTCTATAAAGATTACAGCCTTGGAAACACTTTGGGGCAGGTCTACTCTAGTCCTATAGTGTTGCTATGAGTCAGAATAAACCCATGGCATGGGCGGGACTCTCCAATAGCATCCTTGTCTCCCGTGGGCCTCCCTCCAAGTTTATACTAGTTCTTCTATCCTTTCTCATGAATATAGGTAAGAACTAGGCATTGAGTTGGCAACACTGATTCAACAATATAAAGTGATATATCTCAACCTCGATTTTCTTTTTACTCCAGGGAAAAATAAAACAACTTCTCTCCCAGGGCATTTGTTTCTCAGCTACTGCAGGACTAGACAGCTAATTAATTAAACAACAAACAAAATTCCACATAAAAGATTCCCTAGAAATTGAAAAGCATCAAGCCTGAGCGTATTCCTGCTAGATGTAAGTTCCACTGGTATTTTTCTTTCTAAACGCCCCTTGAATCTCTGATACCTAGCACTTCTCACATTAAACCCAAATTCACTGCCATTAGTGAAATTCTGACTCATAACCACCCCATAGGGCAGACTGGAACTGCCCATAGGATTTCCAAGCCTGTATATCTTTGCAGACGCAGACTGCCTCATCTTTCTCCCAAGGTGGGTGGAACTGCAGACCTTCAAGTTAGCAGCCAAGTGCTTAACCACTGTTTGTAATAAGTATTTGTGGAATGAATGAATGCATAAACGAATGACTATTTCTAAACAAGAGTCCTTCAAAAAATTGTTATAGTCGTTACTGGGCCATCATTTTGTGAACAGATACATGCTATTGGATCATACAAAGTATTTATTAAATCAGAAAAAAAGGTAGCGCTTATACATCCATTTTTAAGAAAATTTTAAAAATCATGATCAGAAGAAATAATCATTGTTCTGGAATTCTTGTTTACTAGAAAAAAATTGTTATTCAGACTTTTATTATTAAATAAATAAGTTAAAAACTGTTTCCTCCCTTGTTGTTGTGAGGTGCCATCGAGTTGGCTCCAACTCACAGTGACCCAATGTACAACAGAACAAAACACTGCCCCATCCTGTGCCAGCCTCATGATCCGTACTATATCTGAGCCCACTGTTGCAGCCACTATGTCAATGCATCTCGTTGAGGGCCTTCCCCTTTTTCGCTGACCCTCCACTTTACCAAGAATGATATTCTTCTCCAGGGAATTGTCCCTTCTGACAACATGACCAAAGTAAATTAGATGAAATCTGTTCACTCTCCTTCCAAGGAACATTATCTGGCTGCACTTCTTCAAAGACAGAATTATTCGTTCTACTGGCAGTCCATGATACTTGCAGTATTCTTCACCAACACCACAACTCAAAAGCATCAACTCTTGTTTGGCCTTTCTTATTCACTGTCCGGCATTCACATGCACATGAGACGATTGAAAACACCATGACTTCGTTAAGTGCACCTTAGTCTTCAAAGTGACATCTTTGCTCCTCAGCACTTTAAAGAGGTCTTTTGCAGCAGATGTGCCCAGTGCAATATGTTGTCTGATTTCTAGACTGCTGCTTCCATTGATGTTGATGGTGAGATCAAGCAATATGAAATCTTTGACATCAATCTTTTCTTGATCTGTTGTGATGATGCTTATTGGTCAAGTTGTGAAGATTTTTGTTTTCTTTATGTTCGGGTGTAATCCATACTGCAGACTGTAGTCTTTAATCTTCATCAGTAAGTGCTTCAAATCACCTTTACCTGCAGCAAATACAGTTGTGTTGTCTGCATATGGCAAGCTGCTAATGAGTCTTCCTCCAATCGTGATGCCACATTCCTCTTCACATAGTCCAGCTTCTCAGATTATTTGCTCAGTTTACAGATTGAATCAGTATGGTAAAAGGATACAACTCTGACGCACTCCTTTCCTGATTTTAAACCATGCAGTATCCCCTTGTTCTGTATGAATGACAGCCCCCTGCTCTATGTACAGGATTCTCATGAGCACAGTTAAGTGTTCTGAAATTCCCACTCTTCTCAATGTTATCCATAATTTGTTATGATCCACACAGTCAAATCCTTTTGCATACCCAATAAAACACAAATAAACCTCTTTCTGATATTCTTTGCTTTCAGCCAGGATCCATCTGACATCAGCAATGATATCCCTCGTTCCATGTCCTCTTCTGAATCCAGCTTGCATTTCTAGAAGCTCTCTGTCAATATACTGCTGCAACTGTTTTTGAATGATCTTTTTTACTTGCATGTGATATTAATTATATTGCTTGGTAATTTCCACATTCTGTGGGATCACCTTTCTTTGGAATGGGCACAAATATGGATCTCTTGCAATCAGTTGGCCAGGCAGCTGTCTCACAAATTTCTTGCCAGAGATGAGTAAGTGCCTCCAGCGTGGCATCCCTTTATTGAAACATCTCAATGGGTATTCATTCCATCAATTCCTGGAGGCTTGTTTTTGTGTTTGTTTTTACCAATTCCTTCAGTGCGGCTTCAACTTCTTCCTTCAATACCATCGGTTCTTGATCATATACCACTTCCTGAAATAGATGAATATCAGCCAGTTCTTTTTGGTACAGTGACTCTGTGTATTCCTTCCATCGTCTTTTGATGCTTCCTTAATCATTCATTATTTTGCCCATAGAATCTCTCAATATTGCAACTCGAGGCTTGAATTTTTTCTTCAATTCTTTCAGCTTGAGAAATGCCGAGTGTGTTCTTCCCTTTTGGTTTTCTAACTCCAAGTCTTTGTACAGTTCATTATAATAATTGACTTTGTCTTCTTGAGCTGCTCTTTGAAATCTTCTATTCAGCTCTTTTATCTTGTCATTTCTTCCATTTGCTTTAGCTATTCTTCATTCAAGAGCAAGTTTAAGAGTCTCTTCAGACATCCATTTTGGTCTTTTCTTCCTTTCCTGTCTTTTTAACGACCTTTTGCTTTCTTCATGGATGATGTTCTTGATGTCATCCCACAATTCATCTGGTTTTTGGTTACTGGTGTTCAATCAGTCAAATCCAATCTTTATATGGTCTCTAAATTCAGGTGGGATATAATCAAGGTCATGTTTTGGCTCTCATGGACTTGTTTTAATTATCGTCAGCTTCAACTTGAACTTGCACATGAGCAGTTGATGACCTGTTTCACAGTCAGTTCCTCGCTTTGTTTTGCATGAAGATACTGAGCTTCTCCATCTCCTCTTTCCACAGATGTAGTGGATCTGATTCCTGTGTATTGCATCTGATGAAGTCCACATGTATAGCCGCGATTTATGTTGTTGAAAAAAGGTATTTGCAATGAGTAAGTCGCTGGTCTTGCAAAATTCTATCATGTGATCCCCAGTGTCATTTCTATCACCAAGGCCGTATTTTCGATGATTCTTCTCTCTTTCCAACTTTTGCATTCCAATCACCAGTAATAATCAATATATCTTAATTGCATATTGGCCAATTTCAGACTGCAGATGTTGGTAAAAATCTTCAATTTCCTCATCTTCTGCTTTG